ATCTAATGCTTCCTAAACATCTAATACGTCATCAACATCGTATACATCAACATCTAATGCGTCTTCACCATCAAAAGCGTCAACGTCTCGTACGTCACCAGCTCTCCCACCGTGACCCCCTGCCCTGCCGGTCCTGTGCGGCCTCCTCCGACTCACCGAGGCTGCCGACTGGGTGGTGGTGAACCTGCCGCTGCTGTACGGCTGCTGGAAGATCTGCTGGGAGACGGTGCTGGACGCGTGGCCGGACGCCGGGCCCACCAGGGAGCCGGAGGCCGACGCCACCAGAGTCGTCATCAGGAGCGTCAGCATCGTCGTCAGCAGGATCGTCAACTCTGAGGGAGGCGGTAGGGAGACCGTTACACTCGGTGGCAGAGAGGTGGTAAGGTGATTGCTTCGATATTGCGTGCAGGTGATTTGCGTAGGTAGGGTTTATGATACCTGACTGCGTCTCCAAATAAAGTCGGGATGCTTAACAACTCTCAAATTAAGTACACTCACAACTACACGAGTGTGAAAAACCTTCAGCAATTTACAATGGAGAAGCAGTCATGACATTAGCTTAGCAGGGTTTATCAGTCATATGCGATTTTTCGGTGATTCGAGGATCATGAAAGATGTACTTAATCACATTCTATTTCGATTATGTCACGGATTAAAGTAAAATATCCATGTCCAAAAGAGCGAACAGGTACAACTCTTGCTATAAGCAATGATGCAATGCTACCCTACCTTTGATTCCAAATGGACTTCAGGACACTGAGGTGCGGCTAGACGAGCATCGAATTTATATGCTGGATGTCCGCTGAGAGATTCTTGGAAAAGATTACCGTCACCAAGTGACATGATCTCTGTGACCAGAAGGAACACTCAGCTTCCTGACGAATCTGAATTTCCGACGAAATTATATAACCCACTTGCGTTGACCGTGACCCAGTAGAGCTGACCGCACGGATAGCCACCCGCGAGTCGCGGCGACTTAGTGGCAAATGGCGTGCCGTCCCTCATCACCGAACCCTATCCGAAGGGCGGGTGAGTATCAAACTGCGCCACAATCCAGCTCATCTCGACCGCCTCATGGTTTGTCGGGGACTGTCCTTGTGCAACAGCCCGGTAAGAAATGTTGCTGGACCCTTGGACAGCAATGAACCCATCCTAGTGAACCCTGGTGGATAACATTTTTATTACGAGCGAGCGAGCGCAGCGAGCGAAGTGAGTCTTTTCAATATAACGGCAAAAATCTCAGTATGAGCGGCCCGGCCCGGCCCGGCCTGTAACGCTTTTGAGAGGCTTATATCTCAGCAACCGCTGGACCGATTGGCCTGCGGTCTTTTTTGTTGGGTAGCCCCATCCCTTCTACCCCGTAATTGACTACTTTTGATACCTCTCAGTGACCGTCGTGGCACGTGCCACGTGAAAAGTCAAGGGTGTTCAAGCTGTTTTGCAAAAGTAGTGATTTTGAGAGGCTCATATCTCAGCAGCCGCTTGGGCGATTGACTTACGGTAATTTTTGTAGGGTAGCAGCATCCCTTCTACCCAAAATAGGATACTCTCGATGCATGTGGGTCACCCCCAGTGCACGTGCAAAATACAACAATAAGAGGTGCCAAATTTGTTCCCATTTCAGTAACTCGGTAATTACTGGGGCGATTTCGCTGAAACTTGGCATACAGGTAGGCACCCACCAGGAAATGCATTCCTATGTGTTGCGGTTAGGGTGCTACTGCACGTGCGCACGTGCAGGGGGCGTTTCCAGATCTCGAGAATGGCTGGGCCGATTGCGCTCAAATTTGGTACACGGTTGGGGACCAGTTAGTAGGGTGCCGTGCAAAAGTCATTTTGGACCCCGTTTGCACGTGCGCACGTGCAGAATGCCGCTTCCAGATCTCAGGAACGGCTGGGCCGATTGCGTTCAAATTTGGCACACCGCTAGCGACCGGTTAGAAGGGTGCTTTGCACAAGCCCGTTGGAAGCACCCTCTCGCCCTTCCGCACGTGCAGGGCTCACTATCTCGCTCGCTCGTTCTTCGCCCAAAAGGCGTTTTACTGGTGCGTATCATGTCATAATTTAGGAACATAACTAGCATAAAATGATTGTCACAGAGCAAGTCTAGCATATAGGCACGGCATATCATATCGAAACATATGCATTATCATATGAAATGTGCATTATCTGGAGAACCTTATCTACCTTATCTACTAACTTTATCTACTTAACCATATAAACTTATCTGCTTATCTGGATAAGTTATCTTAACCAGGATGCTCGGACACTGACCTGGGAAGTCAGGACTCCCCATAAAATTCGATCCAGACGGCAGGGCGAGGATGTTTCTACCGCCCTTCTCAAGGAACGGAACAGACTCGGGTATCTCGTGCGGAGCAGGCTTGGAACCTTCGAACGTAACAGGCTCGATTTCGAGCGACGCGATGTGACCGCCGTCAGCATTGGCTGAGGTAGGCGGTTAGTCACTGCGACACATGACGCAAGTGATCTACCAGAGAGAACGTGGTGGCAGGTTCCGGCCGCTGGTCGGGGGGTCGCCTTTATACCCGATTAAACGAGTCTATAGCCTTGTAAACGAGGGCTAATTTGTAAATAATAAAACAGTTTACTGTCTTTTGCCGCCCTCGGTAGCGACTCAGCGTGCCAATGGTTACTCAGCTGGCGCTGAGCAGAGTCTGTGGACCTCTGACAAATGTTCCTCAATGTCAACTCAGCGGGTCAATGGTTACTGCTGATTTTTTTTTGTGTTACATACGCAGACGTAATTGTAATAAAGTGTGCTATTTTTATCGAGATACAGATTTGAGGAACACAGCAAAGAAGTGTTTAAACCATGCCAAGCAGGACGCGGGCTAACAAATATAACCAGTCACAGACGCACCATTTTGCTACTTTGTTTGTTAAATAAACAAAAGACAATATTTCGTTACGCTTATTGGATTGGAAAATATAAGAAAGATACCCTGGGTGGGGTGGGGGTGGGGTATTTGGCCACACTGCCTGCACGTTATCTCGGAAAGTAGGAAAGCCAGAAAGACGCGGGAAAATATGGAAGCGACTCCTTAGGCACGTGCGCACGTGCAATAGCACCCCAATCGTGGCTCATGAAAATGCATTGCCCAGCGAGTGTCTTTACAATCACGCGTTTAAGCTACAGCACAATCGACCCAGTGAATACCGAGTTTTGTTAACTGTTATCAAATCGATACTTCTTCGTATTGCAGGTAGCAAGTGCATTAGGGATCAACCATATGCATCGGGAATAGTCGAATACTTGGCAGACTTGGATGAAGCTAACCTACAAAAAAGATCGCGAGAGAAACGGTCCAGTGAGTGACTCAGACTGCAGAGACATAAGCTACGCAGAATAGTGACTACTTACTCAGAAATTTCTATAATTCTACGAAGACCTTGCTTTACTGGTTCGTTTGTAATCAAATTATCCGGCATTGCGTTTTATTTATTTTGGCATTGAAATAAAATTATGATATTAGGATAACTGCTGTAAAAAGATATTTGGTTAGACTTGGTCAAGTTTAGTATATTTAATATCAGATAATTGTATGATAATTGTATGATATTGTAATGTTTAGTATCAGATAATGATCCGCCGTGAAATTAGGTAATTTCCTCCCCGCGTGTGCTCAAAGTTCTGGGATCAGTGTGTTGTTTGTCTGTGAATTGTCGTTACTTTTTTATTTAATTCAGAATTCAATAGGCCATTTATCACTTATTCAGAAAAAATAAGGTAATGATTTTGAAAATTAAGTGAAAATGACTTTTCACCAGTAAGTGTGGCTCCATGCTAGCAGGATTTTTTTTCTTTTGATATAGCTTTTGCGGTGCAAATGACACTGAAGGAAGACGTCTGCACACGCTTAGAAAATGATACAGGCCAATGATGACGGCTGCTGGCTCCGGCCCTGATATGATTCCCGGAATAGTGTTAAGAAGTGGCTTCCTCGCAGGTTTCCATTCCACTGAGAAGTGTATATCTGGGTCAATCCCCGCGGTCTCCAAGGGAATTCAGGGTCAGAATACGTAACCTGAACCTTGAGCGGCGTCTTTAATCGTTTCCTTCCTCACTCACGTATAAAATACATACTCAGGTGAATCAGCTGTACATTTGCACTATCCAGCCCACAATGACAGGTGTGTTCTTTGTAGCGATCCAGGCCATCATGATAGAGTTTTGCATCACTTTTGTGTTGTCTGTCAACTGCATGTCAATAGGATATAAAGCAACTGATTTTTGAAAAGTCCATTAGCTTCTTTTTTCATTCACCCTTTCATATCTTAGCCTGAAAACAACTACCTTCGTTCCTTCTTTCATTTAATTGATTATTTGAAAAGTAAGTAGATGACATTCTATTGTGTAAGAAGGAATGTCACGTCGTGTTTCTCTGCTATGAAATGCAGAAACGCTAGCATTTCCTGTAAATTTCGAAACTCGTCTCTGCTGCCTCTCCTCCCAGGCCCCAGCTGGAACCGTCTCGCGCCGGCGCGCTAAGAGCGGGTGCCGCTTATCTCGTGCTGAGCAGTACCCATATGCATTTATTTCACCGCTTATCCACAATCAAAAGCAATACCAGCGTGCTTCCTTTTGCTAAACAAATGATCAATTTACATCCGATGTACGATTTATATTCTTTCCATCTCTGTTCTTTTTGCTTTTTAATTTGTTTGTAAATAACATGGCTGCCACTTTTGGCATGCAGCTGTGATATTCATTCACATTCGATGACAACACAACAGCAAATATTTGTGTTGTCATCGAATGTGAATAAATATCACAATGTCTGACACGATGCATGCAGCTGTCATCGCGGTGTGCTGTCATCGCGGTAGGGTTTTGGTAATGTTGTAGCGTTTCCATGAGCTCGTTCCCGGCTAACCATAACATAACTCCTTCCTTGTTGAGCACCCATGTCAGGTTGAATGTTGACAGATTGGCTTATTATTTACGTTGCTGTATAACCCTTCCCATTTCAGCCACGATGAGGACGGTGCTGGTGCTGCTCGGGGCGGCATCCGCGGCCGTTGCCCTGCCGTTCACGTTCCCCGGACAGGCGGCGGGTAACGCCCAGGGTTCCGTGACCCTGGGGGAGAGTGTCGGTCCCCAGGGGACCCAGCACCTCTCTCAGACCTCCTCTGTGGCCAAAGTAAGTAGCGGAGCTATCGGATGCCTTTCTTGGTAAACCATTACTAAATGATACCATCTTGGTATATGAATGTCATTTCAAACCAAATGTTTTTGTTTTGCATTAATCACTTTATTGTATAATTTTGGTTTATCGCACTATATCTTGCTGCCAAATGTTCACGATTTATCTAAGAAATATTGTAACATTGTATTGATCACCATTAATATTGATCACTGCTGTAGGCCAAGCCAAGGTGACTCCAAATGTTTCAACAATATCACTGCAATCGAATTACAGACCTATCGCTAAAATCATGACGTACTTGAATGTAGCTCGGGGATCAGGAGTGTGCAAAGAGCTGACATTTTTGCATCTAACCACTCATCGTTTCTCGTGCTTTTCAGGGCAAGAGCGTGGGTGGCGCTCCCAATTTCAGCTCTGCCCAGGCCAGCAGCGGTAAGGGTGCTGACGGAGCCCGGTTCGCCAACACGGCCTCCACCTCCCTGCAGCCGGGAGGTTTCGGCACCTTCCCCGGCTTCGGTCTCGGCTTCGGAGGCTCCCCGTTCGGAGGAGGATTTGGAGGACTGGGAGGAGGATTTGGAGGAGTGGGCCAGGCTTCCGGTACCGCTCAGGGTACGGTGTCAGAGGCACAGAGCTTTGGACCGAACGGAGGATTCACACAGATCGTCAACACCGGATCCAGTGCAGGGGTGAGTAGAGAGGGAGAGAGAGAGAGGGAGGGAAGGGAGACGGAGATGGAGAGGGAGAGAGAGAGAGAGAGAGAGAGAGAGAGAGGGAGAGAGAGAGAGAGAGGGAGAGAGAGAGAGAGAGAGAGAGAGAGAGAGAGAGAGAGAGAGAGAGAGAGAGAGAGAGAGAGAGAGAGAGAGAGAGAGAGAGAGAGAGAGAGAGAGAGAGAGAGAGAGTGAGTAACGGAGGGAGTGGGAAAGGAAGAGGAAGAGAGGGCGAGGGAGATCAGAACAGACAAACAGACAGGCTTGTAACGTACTATCAAATAACGACAAATCGTACGCCATCCTGTCTGTCGAATTCACTGTCCCAAACCTGTTACAAGCTAGGCCCACAACGACCGTGCCGCCATCTGCCGTGGAATTTGCAACCAAAATTATCACCAGTGAACCGGGCGCAGGGAAGGTAAAGTGATGTTGTTATTTCAACAAGCACTGCTTAGCGGGGCACCCGGGCCCACAGCCACCCCCTCATGCATCCGAACAAAATTTATTTGAAAGACGTTTTCATTGCCTTTCAATGTCTGCCGCAGTAAATAACAATCCCTGTATCCTTCATGATTCCTGACGCACAACGACGTCATTCTGACATAATATCTGACGCCTGTCTCCATTGCAGGGTACGAGCGTGAACGGTGCTCCCAGCATCAGCAACTCCCACGCCAGTAACGTACAGGGTCCCGGCGGCATCAGTCAGTCCAACACGGGCGCCTCTTCTGTCCAGCCAGAGTTTGGAGCCGGTCTCTTCGGATCGCCCTATGGTGGCTTCATGAGTGGGTTCAGCAGCCTTCATTAGTGCAAATTGTTTTTTGTTTGGGTGGGAATCGTGTGTACCGTCTATCGAGCTATTCTACCGATGATCTTGAGAGTTTGTGAATCACAAATGCATATCACGAGTGGGAGTATGAGGACAATGCATAGGCAATAGGCATATTATATAGATATGTGAAATAATTTCAACCTCCGTGAAGACCGATGCATTTTTGAACCAAAACAGTTCCTTAGGTCTTTTTTTTTAAATGAGTCGTGGGTGATGTTACCTTTGACGACCAATACATGGCGAGATGGAATATGTTTTTTATCTACATCACACCTTTATGACACACCCAATAAGCAAATGCTGAAAGCACCTCACGCTTTCTACTGCAAGTAAAAGTCTGCCACACGAACGTATGATATGCCGAGACGCTACTCAAAGGAAAGGACGAAGACATGCTGTGTATTACACTTGAGTACAAATCTGATAATTTTGACTAAAACAGCAAATGAAAAGTAAAGCTCATTTTCGACAACTTAACTGATTCAACTGAGGGGTGAGAGAGAGAGAGAGAGAGAGAGAGAGAGAGAGAGAGAGAGAGAGAGAGAGAGAGAGAGAGAGAGGGGAGGGAGGGAGAGAGAGAGGGAGAGAGAGAGAGAGAGAGAAAGAGAGAGGAGAGAGAGAGAGAGAGAGAGAGAGAGAGAGAGAGAGAGAGAGAGAGAGAGAGAGAGAGAGAGAGAGAGAGAGAAAGAGAGAGGAGAGAGAGAGAGAGAGAGAGAGAGAGAGAGAGAGAGAGAGAGAGAGAGAGAGAGAGAGAGAGAGAGAGAGAGAGAGAGAGAGAGAGAGAGAGAGAGAGAGAGAGAGAGAGAGAGAGAGAGAGAGAGAGAGAGAGGAGAAAAATATGAGAGGTTAATTTGTTTCACCAAGGGACATAAAATGAGATATCCTTGCTTCTCTCTACCGTTTTGTTGCACATGCTTCAGCGAAAACATCGAAAATATCGCAATACTGCTTCTCCTTTCCATTTGCATTTTTACATCACACCTTCAGTGGCTCGCATTTTCCAACGAAAAGCGCGAGATAACAACTACTGCGAATGAAAGGCGAGGCGGGGAATTTCTGCAGTGCGCAAAGAACATGCTGTGGTTTGCATTGCAAAGCGTGCCGCCAGCTCCTCGGGCTGTGTTTGAGCTCACTGGCGCAGCGTTTTTAGGTCGAAAAGCGAGTCTGATGTGCCCATACCTGCCTGCCGGCACTCCGGAAGTACAGAGCTGGCCGGGACCAGTTGGCGCGGCAGCTACTTTGGTCCAGTGGCGAGGCACACTGCCCAGCCGGGATGTTTGCGAAACTGCTCCAGCTGAGCTATAAAGCGGTGCCGCTGGAGGCGAAATGCTGCATTTATCCAGCCACAGTTGCCCGGGATAAAGGAAGTCGGTAAGTAAGCTGACCGCGGTGTGTCCCAAGTTGTCTAAGTCGTGCCACATCGTTCAGTGAGTGAGTTGTAAAAATGCGATTGCCATAACGCAATCTTTATTGTTGTTATTTTGCTGTAAAATTAATAGTTTAATCATTGCCGTGAGCACCGAACTTTTATAGCTACAGCAACTCCCTTTCTAGATGCCCCATACTCCCATATTGAGGCTAGATATGAACGAACATCTTCAATTGACCCTTGTGTTTTTCTTTTTATTACGCAAAATATTCGTTTGAATATCAACAACAGTCTTGAATTATTGACTGGCGTTAGCCAGCCATCTCACGGACCTTCCATTCCGTTTGCAGATATAAGCCCGCGCTGCGATGCGGATACCTCTACTGTTGCTTCTTGCCGCCGCCGGCTCCAGCAGCAGCCCACGGACCGGCAAGAAGCTGCTGCCGAACCGCTTCTCCGAGCCGATATTCCCTCCGAACTCCACCGAGGAGCAGGACAGGCCGACGACCAAGTTCTCCGAGCCCGTCTTCGTCGAGAGCCTCGTCGACAACCTCGTCGAGAACCTCGTCGAAGAAGGGGAGGTACCGGCGCTGGAGCCGGCCTCCGATGATATCCTCGACAGCGAGCTCCTGGACCCGGTGGAACCCGCTGGCGGAACTCCAGTCGACCTGAGCCAGCTCCGGCCGGCCGGACAGAGCTCCGGAGGACGGCCACTGAACATCGACCTCAGCAGTCTGCTGACCCTTCTCGGCCTGGGCAGCGGCACTGGACAGGGGGCTAGACCCGGAGGGGTAACACCACCAGGAGGTTCTGGAGGATCTCCGACGAGCGCAGGAGGTGGAGCAGCTGGAGTGGGCAGCGGTGTCGGGCTGCTGACCTCTGGAGGGAACGCTGGAGGACCAGCGGCTGGAGGGGGCGGAGGCAGGCCGGTGGGTGGGGAAACGGACAATCAACCTGGCGCGTCTCGTCCTGTAGGAGGGCTTGGAGCAGTGTCAAGCGGCGCGGTACCACCAGTCCGGCCAGCGATTAACATCAACAGGCCGATTTTGGGCAGCGGCCTCATCGGTAATTTCGGTAATCAGGGAGGCGCAAGACCAAGCACCTCCAATCTCGGAAGTGGACTCGGACTTCTGGGATCATCAGGAGGAGGCTTCACGGGCAGGCCGGTGTCAAACATCAATAGGCCGACATTGGGCAATTTTGGAAACTTATTCGGTTCAAGCTCAAGACCTGGTACCACGCAAGGTATCGGAAATCAAGGAGGCAACAGACCAAGCACATCTAACTCCGGGAGTGGCCTGGGCCTTTTAGGATCAACCGTAACAATTCCTACCGGAAGGCCGGCCTTAAACATCAGCAGACCAAGTTTGGGCAACTTTGGAAGTCTATTTGGCAACAGACCTAACCTCGGCGGAAGTTTGGGATCTCTCTCTGGCAGCCGACCCGGTACGTCTAACTTCGGGAACGGTCTCGGGGTGCTCGGGTCGGGTGGGGCCATTCCAACTGGCCGTCCAACCATCAACATTACCAGACCGGTCATCAGCAGCCTCGGCAACCTGTTCGGGAACTCGTCCAGACCGACCCTCGGCGGGGGTTTTCCGAACTTCGGCCTGACAGGCTTTCCGTTCGGGAACAGGCCTCAGGTTGGTGTGAACACCAACAGACCAGTGATCGGGAGTACCGGAGCACAGCCAGGATCTGGAGGAAGGCCATCCGGAGTGGGAACCACCCCCGGGGGCGGGTCGGTTTCCGGTCAGGGACAGGGAGGAGGACTTGGCGCCGGCAACGTCCCGGGAGCCGTAGGAGGAATCGCCCCGGGGCAGGGCGGAACTGGGTCGGGCTCGGGAACCGGAGGAGGGAATCCTGGCGGGTCGAACCAGGGTCTAACTCCCGGGTCGGCAGCCTCGACTGGTGGGCGCCCTACCAGACCGGTACTCGGCGGCGGAGGTCTCGCTCAAGGAGTGGGTCTGGGTGGTCTCAGCGCAGGACTTGGAGAGAGCGTATTCGGGGGAGGGAGGCCAAGGCCCCAGGGCGCTGGAGGTGCTGGCTCGGGGTCGGGCGGTCTTGGTGTTCACCCTGCAGTGCTCGCACTTTTCGCAGGAAACGGTTTAGCTCCCGCAGGGTCTGGGGCGGGATCGACGGGTAACCAGGGCCTCGGTAATAGGCCCACTGGTAACCAGGGCCTCGGTAATAGGCCCACTGGTAACCAGGGCCTCGGTAATAGGCCCACTGGTAACCAGGGCTTCGGTAATAGGCCCACTGGTAACCAGGGCCTCGGGAGTAGACCCACTGGTAACCAGGGCCAGAGTGGTGGTTCTTCTGGCAGCCAGGTTGCAATTTCGGTCGGTAACCAAGGGCAGACCGTCGGACTCACAAGTAACCAAGGATCTGGTATCGTCATCACTGGTAACCAACCGTTAGGTGGAGTTTTGGGAGGAAACGTTCCACCAAGCCATCTTCTTAGTTATCTGGCAGCTGTACACAGGCCGTTTTCGAATGTTCCTGGAGGTGGATATGTTCCATACAACCCATACCACCCATACCTTCCATACCCTCCATACCGTCCGTACCCCTCCGTATACAACCTGCAGCATCCACATTTGTATTCGTATGGAAAAGACGGACTGAAAAAGCTAGGTGCACTGCTGATCCTCGGGAGGAAGGGAAATTCTACGATCAGCGCCACGGAAGAAGACGAAGAAAGCAAGGAAGTGGATGATTCCAAGGTTGCTGATTTGAGTTGAGCTCAGATTGATTTTATGTGGCAATGCAATGTCTGTCGCGTCATATTATCTGTATATAAGCCCGTCGTCCATGGGTACCTGAGATCCAGATGAGTAAAAGTGGATTAGGTAATCCACATTAGTTAGACACTGTATGAAAATGAAAACAAGGGATTTAGCTTGATAGCATAAACCTAATCCACTTTGAAGTTACGCTTGTAACGAAGAGTTCGAAGCAAATTGTGCGATTGAAATTTGGTAGTCCGGATAGCCAGTGCCCCTGGAAACGTGGTGATATTTATGCGTTATTGGCTGTGCTTTTCATGTTGTGAGCTTGTGTGCAGATGTGCTGCAGATGCTGCATATATGCAACAATTGTGTGTAACGGTAGGTGTTCATGATATGTTATGTGTAAAAGAAATGTTGGAAAAATCAAGCATGCAACACCAAGCTGAAACAGGAAGCAGAAATTCACTATACGCTGTTCAGAATTGAATGTATGCTTGCAACGTCGCTTTAATTACTGAGTTATTCATGTGCTCATGATATACACTTGAAACACTTTTATTTTTCTTGTGACTATTGAATCTGACAAAATGTGTGTTGACTGGGCCAAATTTGCGTCGTTAGCAGGTGACCTTTATGACTGATGTCCGAACGCTATATGATAAATAAATAGCCAATAATGCGCTCATATCCTCCCTGCTAAGCACCCGACTTTGCCACTTTTGATATCCCGGGGTTCTGACCTATAGCATTTAGTTCGGCTCAAGGGATACGGTCTGTCACCTTACATTAGACAGGTGATCAACCGCAAAGTGATTTGCTATATAGCACCACGCGCAAAAATTCGCAGATACGGATTGCAGTTTGTAGTCTGTACAGCAATTTAGAGGGTTAAGTCGCAAAATGATTTGAGCTCAAATTGAAATGAGTGATCTTTACAGAAATTGCCTGCGTATCATGCGGTAATGCTGGCCTGCTGTAGCCTGGTTAAGAAAAGTTTGAGCTTTTGACGCTGGCTGCATGGATGGGGCGCGGCGATTGCAATGGTGATAAGGGGGCTTGGAAGCGCACAGATAGCTCTTAATATTCGCTCTAAGTACAACATTATCTTGAGTCGCGGGCCAATAACCTTCCCTGGTGGAGTGGGGAGGGGTAGATTGAGGCCAGCCCTGGCGGGTTTTCGTGATTGACTGGAGCGCATTAGCGATGGAGTGTTCAAAGTTGAGTCACCGGCACTTTAATTTGAACATTTTTTATCAGTCACACTCTCCAGTTAGATTAGGTCACCGGTCGTTGAGCGATTAAGGAAACCGTGATCGGTGAAGGGATATAATTTCCCAACGCCTTGAACACCTGTGTTTTCGTACCCACCTTACACAAAGAGATGCAATTACCAGGAGGCAGTAAGGTTCCGAGACTTCGCAAATGGCACATATTGGATTTTGATAAAAATAGCCAAAGTGATATTTTGCTCATAATATCGGAGAAATTATTTGAAAGGAGGCAAGAATATATTTTTTGACTTGGTTCTTCTTCGGTGGAATCAAAGAATTCATAAAAATCATTTTTGATTTCACCGATGAAGAACCAAGTTCCTAAATATATTCTCAGCCTTCTTTCAATTAAACACCTGTGTTTTCGTACCCACCTTACACAAAGAGATGCAATTACCAGGAGGCAGTAAGGTTCCGAGACTTCGCAAATGGCACATATTGGATTTTGATAAAAATAGCCAAAGTGATATTTTGCTCATAATATTGGAGAAATTATTTGAAAGAAGGCAAAAGTATATTTTTTGACTTGGTTCTTCTTCGGTGGAATCAAAGAATTCGTAAAAATCATTTTTGATTTCACCGATGAAGAACCAAGTTCCTAAATATATTCTCAGCGTTCTTTCAATTAACTTCTCCCATATTGTGAACAAATACCAATTTTACCATTTTGTTTTTTATAACAATCATGCTCAAAGATACGTTGCATCATATATCGGGCTTACTACCAAAGTCACCTGGGTTCAGGTTGGTGATGCTATAACAATTTAAGTAAATGCGGGAAATGTTGGTACTCTTTATCTAGGGTCGGAAATGATCAAAAACTGTTCCAAGCACATGGGATCAATCTTATAAACGCCTTGGAATGGATATGGCAGCACTGGCTGAACTTCAGCTGCAGAAAACGGAGCTATCAATTGCAAAAAATTGTTTTCACGCATTCCAGTCCATCGTATGTTGACGGTCCAAAGAATCATTTCGTTGACTCGGATAACCGTTTGTCAGCACTGATATCACTGTACACGTAAATATTACCAAATGCCGTGAATAGAATACCTAGTACGGCATTTTATAAGATTGGGCCATGGAGTGGTAATTTTTTTAAATAAATTTAGTCCGAACCTTTTGAAGGGAAGGATTCACAAGGACAGAGCCACCGCTAAGCGAAGCTTGTTGCGGTGACCCTGCCCTCTACCCTCCGATCGCGCAATTCCAGTTCTATGTCAGAATTTAGAGTCCAAAGTTTAACGTGCGCACATAGCCGCGCACGGCCGGTCCCCTCACTGACTTCGCCTGGCTACAGCCTGCCACCAACCGCAGCCATACCTGTCAGGAGGCCCATAAATGTCAGGCGCCCGTCGCGCTTCGAACCGGGACTGTTGTAACCAGGAACGCGTGCTCTCACCACGCGGAGTCCAACGCTCTACCAACTGAGCTACGGGAATTTCATTCTCTCTATGCATGCAAGGTCCGATAATTGGTTTTTGCATGGCACTGATGACAGACCTTGCGTGACATACATACATGAAGCCACTGAGGCGGCTGGAGGTCACCGCTGGTCTTTGTTTATGTATATGTTACTCTGGACCAAATCACACCAATTAACTCAGAATGAGTTGTCGAATCGAATGATCTACTACATGACCTACCTTGGCTAGCTTTGTGACTTGATTGATTTTGATATGACCTTCATTTGAGCTTAACGCGCTGGTTTGACCTTTCTCAAACAAAAGTATACCATTAGACGTCACTGCCTACGACAAAAGCGATTGTGCCAGAGCCACAGCTTTGCGACTTAATGTTTGAGGAACTTAATTACCTAAAGACTAGATCACTGCCTTAAGCTTTTGACTTGACCTCTGACTTCTGAGGTCGCTGTTAACCTGCTGTTTTTACAATTTAATTTCAGTCGTTTTGTCATTTGTGTAGTAGCTGCGCAGTGCGCACAAGCTTTTCCCAAAAGTCTTTGGATTTACTTATGAGCGATACGGTGACGGGTAAACCCTCTCTATCGATCAGGGTGCGTAAAGAAAATATGTTCGGGGAGGGAAAAGTTGTTGATTTACAGGAACATTCACAAAAAGTGCTGCAAACTAAACAACCATAATCTTCCGTAACACCGTAGCGGATATTTAGGGAAAGTAGAAACCAACTCGATGCCTGCTACCCATTATGTAATTCGCGATGCGCTTAACCGGATGATTTCGAGCGTAGGATTGAGGCCGTCGACCTAAGGGCATCCGAGTCAAAAGTGAAACTTTGGCCACGGCGATGGTGCGCTTAGGCCCTTTTTATTTTGAAATGACCCGTTGCACCATCTCATCTCTAGAGAATCCGCCAGCACACGCACGGATAAGGAGTTGAATAAAATTCACGATCAGGTGAGAACAGGAGCAGTGTACATTTCTGAACGGTAGTGGAAAGGCTGAGTCCACCTGGTCTAGTTGTCAGTGGTGTAGGAGTAGTGTTGTTTCCTCGCCGATCTGGTACAGGGCAGAGTTTAAGGTAAATATTAAATCATCACAAGTGCCAACTGATTTGGAGTTACCTAAGCTAAGGAACTATTCAAACTAATGATCATATCATATTGCTTAGCGTTTTTGTTTGTACATAGTTACTATACCTTCCACGGATAATCGGCGAAAATATTTTCTTATGTTTAGCTTGGCTACTTTCTATGCCAGACATAAGAAGTTAGTGCTTATGCTCTAATTTGTTTAAAGTTCCGTGCGATGACATCCGAGAACACGCTTTACAGTCTAAGCGAGCATTTTGAAATGTTGATAGTCAAATGGTACACGCTGGCATGATTTCGACGACTACATATTTGACTAACCTTGTTTTCTTGTTCTGTTCCAGTGCGAGTCAGCCCCAATGACTCGGTTCCTTCTTCTGCTGTTCGCCTCCTCGGCGTTGGCCCGGCCGGAGAGTCGTATCCTCTCCAGCTTCGGCCCAGGAGCCAACGCCTACCGGCCGAGCGCAGCGTTCGGGGCCCGGGAGCCGGCCGCGGCTCCGTCCGACAGCGCCGCCTCGGCAGCCGCTGCAGAGGTCGCCGGAGAGGGTGTCAGCGCCCTGGGTCAGGTCAGCGAGCTCGCCGCCAGCGCTCCGATCGAGTCCGGCTACGAGCCCGGAGGCGAAGAGGGTGTTGGAGCAGATGTTGGACTGGCTGCCGAGTCAGGTGTCGCTGCGGAAGCCGGTGTTGCGAACTCGCCGTCCGCGGGGCAGGAAGATGGACAGTTTGCGCAGGGACTAGGTCAGGGATTTAGACCCGGCGGAGGTCAGGGATTTAGACCAGGTGGAGGTCAGGGATTTGGACCCGGTGGACAGGGATTTAGACCCGGTGGACAGGGATTTAGGCCCGGTGGGGGTCAGGGATTTGGATCCGTTGGAGGTCAGGGAATCAGGCCCGTAGGAGGTCAGGGATTTAGACCTGTGGGAGGTCAAGGTCAAGGCTTCGGGTCCTTCGGAGGTCAGGGCTTCAGACCCGGTGGAGGTCAAGGATTTAGGCCCGTTGGAGGTCAGGGATTCAGGCCCGTTGGAGGCCAGGGATTTAGACCCGGCGGTCATGGGTTTAGGCCTGGAGGGTTCGGAAATGACTTTGGACAAGCAGGTCAAAACTTCGGTGCATTCCAGGGTCAGCAGCAAGGATTTGGAGCTGGTCAAGGTCTCCAACAAGGGTTCGGTCAAGGCCACCGACCTGGCTTTGGCGTAGGTCAAGGACTCCAGTCTGGGTTTGGTGCAGGTCAAGGTAACGGCTTTGGGCCAGGTCAAAGTCACCCAGGCGGGTTCGGTGCAAGTCAGGGCCTCCAACTCGGGTTCGGCGCAGACCAGGTTCACCAGCCTGGTTTCGGGACAGGCCAGGGAGTCCACCCTGGTTTCGGGGCAGGTCAAGGAGCCCACCCCGGGTTCGGGTCGGGTCAGGGCTTCCAGGGTGGGTTCGGATCGGGCCAAGGTCCACACTCCGGGTTCGGTGCTGGGCTGGACCCCTCAGAGGGCGCCTTGGGAGTGGTGGCGGGGGTACAGCTGGGTACGTCGGGCCCGTACCAGCAGTACAACCAGTACCAGCCGTACCAGGCGTACAACCCGTACAACGGGTTCCTGCGGAGTGCCGATAGCGACATCGAGGCCGAAACTGCCGACAAAACGGAGGAGGATGCCGCAGAGAAGGAAACGTGAACTTGAAATACAAAAGTGTGCGATTGTCTGATGATGTTGCTGGGCAGTATCGTCAATTAGATAAATGCATGATCAGTATATGTGGTACAAATACACGGTCAGGTATAAAACCTTTTCGTATTTTCTGTTTTCCTTTTCGGGAAGACTGAGCAGCGAAGTGGACAGAAAGCAAGCAACACTGTCGAAAGCGGTGATACTCCAACACAAAAGTATGAAGTATCGTGCTGCGTACTCGGCAGTCACGAACTTGCATCAAACCAGAATAATTTCCTTGTAGTAGAGAGCACACCGAGTTCATATATCCCACTATTGTTTTCACTGTATTGCGTAAAACGTCTTTACTGATCACACAAATACATGACACGTGAAAACTATTACTGACACAGTACGACAATAAAAATAGGCGGCCACCACACTTTTTATATATTAGTTGACGGAATGGTAGCCGTGCGAAGCGCCTCCTTGAGGGGTAAAAAGAGCGACCAAATACAAACTGAAGCGGAGAGCATAACCTCTTAACCCGCGCCCGGCTGGGGGTCCTGGATTTCCACGCCCTGCTGGAGGGGGGGGGGTGGAACCCCCCTTCTAACTCGGCTCCTGGGCCACGTAGCGGTATGCGAAAGGTGGTGTTCGAAAGAACGTCAAAAATAATGAAGAAATCACTTCAGTCACTTTTTTGGTCAAGTCAAAGGTCGGAGCACCAGCGGTCATTGAAGGCCAAAATACGCCGATTTGTAGGTCAGATGTCGACAACTTTCAACAAATCGACGCACAGCTCAGAAAGTCATAAAGTTACATCACCGCGGAAAAGCTCATTTGATAGCCCTATTTACGCTCTTTTTGAATATGTTCTCGGATTTGGCCTACCGTCAACGGTTTTGCCTGCAAGGGGCAAAAACTAAAAAATAGCAGGTTTTTCGGCAACTGGTTTTCTGCAATAACTTCTAACTCAAACCTTGCATGAACTTTCTTTTACCAGCATCGTGTTCCTTTCGTCAAGACGCGTCGATTGAATTAACACTTGACCTTGAAAGGTCAGCTTGAAAATTTGACCTCAGGTCAAGGTCATGACCTGACCGGTAAGGGTCAAGCTGCATATCCGTCGATCCGTATCGTTGAGCCAAACACTACTAAGGTGTTTTCATCGCTCTAGCTTGCCTCTATCAAAAGTTATTCGCGAAAAACAGATACCATTGGTGACCTGAGATGACCGGGTCACGGGTGCCATTGTCATGTTCAGTGTTCCAAAGATACTACCAGAACCTGTGAGTATGGTGGAAACTGGAAGGTAAGAAATGATGCAGACGTGATTTGGAAAAGACAAATGTTTTGAGGATAATCTTTTTTTTGACAGCGCAACACGGTACTTATTGTTTTGCGCTATGCTCCGTCTCCGAGAGTATGTTATATATCGACGGTATATATTTTACGCGGATACCCTACTCTGCAATAGTTGATTTTCAAGAGTGAAGCGTCACTCTACTCGCCAGCCACATTTATTAGGTTGCCATATTAAGCAAACAATACATATTTCGATATTGGTCGTTTTTCTCTTTAACAAATAGCAACAACGTTTAGCCATAACACAAGCTTCCAAATAAAAGAACGAGGTTGTGTTACCACAAATCAGAAAAACGTACAATATTTTGATTATGAATTTACGCACTTTTGAAATGTCATCTGTGTTACTTCAACTTATCTACTTCAATGAGCTTTGTGGCCTGCACCTTATAGTTACGCAAGCACCATTTTTTACATTGAACGTCTCAGAACAAATTCTGGATATTCTCTTTAATAAACGCCCGCCCTACTGACCTGACGGACGGGGGACACCAGACCGACAGACAAATGAACGTCGATATGAGGCGAATCCGCGTCTCTCAACCCTGAGCCCCACCCTCAGCTTAGTGAAGATCCGGTTTAGTCAGCGCGCGAGCTCGCGTGCATTGCGGTCAGTGTTGCAATGGACATGCTGGCAAGCATGTTGACATCCTGGGTAGCGACAACACGCTTTTTCACAACGCTCGGCATGCGTCATACAGCTGGCGCTTGAGCTAGATCATCGGATTGACTTACGCGAGAGAGGCTGGGGACTCTTGTGCGAGTTGGATGCAGTAGGAATTTCACACATCCAAGAATATTTTACATTGTTGTCAAAATTGACATCGAGAGAGGAGAGGAAAGAAGAAAGAGAGAGAAAGAGAGAGAGAGAGAGGGAGAGAGAGAGAGAGAGAGAGAGAGAGAGAGAGAAAGAAAGAGAGAGGTAGCACTTAGCGTTTTGTTTGAGATCGTTGTGGAATTTTTTGCCTTTATTTACTTCTTTACTTCTATACTAATGTTTTAATTGTTTTCGATTTATACTAACATGTCAAGCCAGCCGTCAATACAGTATTCTAGGCAATGCACACTTAGATTTAAACCTAACCAATTTCAAAACGAACTGTAATAACACAACTTTCTGATTCAAAGAATGGCGTTAGATGCAATGTAAGCACTTACGTAAGCCTGATTTCTGTACCAGCAACATTGCATGAAGGCGAAAGTACCCATTCAATGTTTTATTCATTCAGACCAGTTCATCCTTGGTGTCTGAGCATTGCAATAATCTCATTTTTCTTCCATCTTGTTGTTTCAATGAATTCAGTTAACCCTCGCTGGCCGAGGGGGGGGGGGCGGTTTTTTCGCGATAGCTCCGAACACGCTTGCGATAGAGAGCTGAAACTTGGCATACCTGACCTTTGATTCAAGCCGGATCTTTTGACACCAACCAAATTTTTGGGTCAGGTCAGGTCACTGACCTATGACGTCATAAGTGAACCTCTGCACGGTCTTCAGATGTCGCAACTTTGCAACGCCCTCACTGCCAGAGGAGATGTCTCAGGGAAATGAAACTTGCAGGATCTAGTATCCAATACGAGTCTCGCAACTTGTATATCCCGGATTTTTCCTAAAGGTCATATGAGGTCAGGTCATTTTCGTGACCTCACCATTATAAGTCAAGGGAAAAAATGAAAACTGCTATTCTGGCGCCGGAAACGATCTCCAACTATCTCAAGCACACAGAATCGTGATTTGATGCACTCCTTGCAAGGCTAGATGCGTCACTTTTGCAATGTTGACCTTGCGTGACGTCATTTATGACGTCATCAAGGTCATATCAGTTTTTCGTTAATAACTCTTGATCAAATTGAGCTAGCGAGTCGGGAAAGCCACCAATGGACTCAGGAAGACCTGCCGAATCGAATGATATGCGACATGACCTCTTTCGACCAACTTCGTGACCTGGGGGTGCTGACCTGACCTTGACCTGAGGTCAACACCCGAAGTTGACCTGACCCGGACAAAAAGTATATCATTCGACGCGCCTGAGCGAGGCGAGCACGATGCTGCCAAAATCGCGGCTCTGCGGTCGTTGTTTTTTGCGAAGTTATTCACCAAAAACTGAACCGTACCTTGGGGCACTTGACCTGACCTCAGAGGTCACCGGTTGACCTAGGACCTTAAAATCGGGTACCAATCTCTGCGTCTCGTAACGGCGCACACGCTCGCATTTTCCGCGACGCGCTAGCTCCACCAGGGGCGAAACGGCGAGGGGGGTCGTACCCGCCCCCCCCCCCCTCGGCCGGCGCGTATGTAGAAAACCAATAGGTCCGGCGAGGGTTAAGCAATGTTAATGTGATGCACATAACACACTCTGAACAGTCTGAAGCAACACTGTCAGTGGAAAAAAAAACTTCTAGAGTTACTTTTACAGGACTTTGCATTCAAATAACATGTAGCATGTAACAAAACAGTAAAACGCCTTTTGGGCGAAGAACGAGCGAGCGAGATAGTGAGCCCTGCACGTGCGGAAGGGAGAGAGGGTACTTCCAACGGGCATGTGCAAAGCACCCTTCTAACCGGTCGCTAGCGGTGTACCAAATTTGAACGCAATCGGCCCAGCCGTTCCTGAGATCTGGAAGCGGCATTCTGCACGTGCGCACGTGCAAACGGGGTCCAAACTGACTTTTGCACGGCACCCTACTAACTGGTCCCCAACCGTGTACCAAATTTGAGCGCAATCGGCCCAGCCGTTTTCGAGATCTGGAAGCGCCCCCTGCACGTGCGCACGTGCAGTAGCACCCTAACCGAAACACATGGGAATGCATTGCCAGGTGGGTGCCTACCTGTATGCCAAGTTAATGCCAAGCAGCGAAATCGCCCCATCAATTACCGAGTTATTGAAATGGGAACAAATTTGGCACCTCTTCTTTTTGTATTTTGCACGTGCAGTGGGGGTCACTCACATAGATCGAGAGTATCCGACTTTTGGTAGAAGGGAGGCAGCTACCCTACAAAAATTACCGCAAGACAGTCGCCCAAGCGGCTGCTGAGATATGAGCCTCTCAAAATCACTACTTTTGCAAAACAGCTTGAACACCCTTGTCTTTTCACGTGGGACGTGCCACGACGGTCACTGAGATGTATCAAAAGTAGTCAATTACGGGGTAGAAGGGATGGGGCTACCCAGCAAAAAAGAACGCAGGCCAATCGTTTTAGCGGTTGCTGAGATATAAGCCTCTCAAAAGCGTTACAGGCCGGGCCGGGCCGGGCCGCTCATACTGAGATTTTTCCCTTATATTGAAAAGACTCGCTTCGCTCGCTGCGCTCGCTCGCTCGTAATAACGGCAAAGGCAACGAAATAATGCGTCAGCAGTGGCGGAATGATGTTTAAGTAGCAAAGAAGTGTTAAATGCTGTACAACAAATACCTATATTTCTGTTGCATGCAGCATTGAGAGTCATTATGCGGTCGGAAGATTTGACCACGAGAACTCATCATCGATCAAAACGCTTGCATTCCCTACGAAAGGAAGTCGCAACTGTAAACTAGTTCGGGTAGCGTTTTCATAAATTATTTGGAGATGTGCTTCCAAGACTCATGCGTAAAAATAAAGGTGATAAGATATAAACTGATAGCCTAGCCCTACATTAGAAAGAGCATGAAACATCTCTATCACACTTCCCGCACTCAACGTTAATCAACGCTGGAGTGCTTGCGCATTTCTTCCTCTGTTTCCTTATCAACACTCCTGCCTTACATCGCTTCCACGCGCTGGGGTCGGTTGGCAGAGTGCCACCTACCCGCCAGCAAGTCAGCCCTCGGGGCGATCACGTGACTCTGGACAGTCTGCGCGAGCGGGGAAGCAGTGTGATGCGGGGAAGCACGCTCAGTGGCCAGTACTCGCTGCTTATTATGGGATTGTTGCTGTTCGTAATGCCAAGGCTTGCGACGTGACTGTCATGTGTCGAATGTGAATTCCAATACGCTGTCTGTAGTTTTGGCTTCGCAAGACAACGCAGCGCAACGACACCTAGCGCGCAATGATCAAGATGGAGGTCACCGCCACGTCAACCGGTAAGGCATGACCGGGCTTACCCCCAACCCCCTGTTAGCCCCTTCAGTAAATAACTGAATGCTAATGAATTGATCTGATACTGTGATGATTAAATCAAGCTTTAGCTACGTGCTTTTACCAGGCTTTATGGTAAGCCCAATTGCAGCTTTGCTTCCACATTCTTCCACATCGTGTCTATTTCATATTGATTTAGGAAATAAATGATACGTATGAATTGAAATAGATCTGGCAATTATATGGGTGACAGATGTTCCGATGACAATGACAAAATGATAAATTGTCGAAACATCTCGTAATTATCATTTATCTACTATTCATAGGTACATGAAGTGAGTGGATTTTTTGACAAAAGAGTTTTGACTATGTCGTCAGAAGACAACTTTCGTTTTGCTACCACTTCTTACGTTATGGACTGGGCTCGTCTTAGATTCAGCACATGTCCCCGCTCAACAACCGTCAGGTTATCTCGCCCCGATCAACGCGTCCGTATGCTGTGCTTTTAATCCGAGTAAAGTCGTCTTTGCGGTTGCGCATGTATTGTTCGAAGTTTGCAATGCTCTTGCAGATCTGTTGTTTCCAGAACCGCAAATGTCCCTGACATTGGTGTCTTCCTCTCGCAGTAAACCGGTGAATTGGGTCACGGGTTTGATCTTTCGGGCCGGACACGTGCCTTTTTAGGCCGGTTTTATGCCATCCGGTTCGAAATATCTGGTATATAAAGGCGACAGTGTCTTCGGTGATTATCATTCCCTTGACAACGGTGCTTGGAAAAGGTAAGGAAACAGAAATTACTCATGAGTAGATTTAGTCTTAGAGCATAGACCAAATTGGCTTGAAGTGATGACTTGCCTGAATAAATTTTCAGATGACTTATAGCAAACACTTTGAAACAGAAGTTTTCTTCTGTTGCTGGTTGCGTAATTATAAAATGATGTATGGTTTTATATCTAACATTTAACAGCTTTTAATTCAATACTGTCCATGCCACGAAATGTCAGCGATTCATTAGACGGTAACCTAATAGTCAAGACAAAGTCCACTAAAAAGTTTTTTTTTTTGTATGTGTGAATAGATACAACTCTTGTAATTGTTGTCACGATTAACTAACAATTCAGTTCCCCTCAATTAAGTTCTTTTGCCTCTGTACTTCGGTAAGTTATCTTCGTGGCATTTAACCATTCTAATCGTTATCCACTAAAAAGTTTTTTTTTGTATGTGTGAATAGATACAACTCTTGTAATTGTTGTCACGATTAACTAACAATTCAGTTCCCCTCAATTAAGTTCTTTTGCCTCTGTACTTCGGTAAGTTATCTTCGTGGCATTTAACCATTCTAATCGTTATCTCTGCTACTCTTATCCTTGCTAATCATTACTCTTGTCCGCAGCTGCAAACAAACTTCAATCACCATGAGGATTCTGCTGGCACTTGCGTTCGTGGCCGTGGCCTCTGCCGCCACTCGTGGATACGGCGGCGGGTTCGGAGGACGACCCATCATTGGAGGAGGACGACCGATCATTGGCGGAGGACGACCAATCATCGGAGGAGGACGACCAATCATCGGAGGAGGTCGACCGATCATCGGCGGTGGCGGGTTCGGCCACGGCGTTGGTATTGGTCAGGGCGTCGGAATTGGTTCTGGCGTTGGTATTGGCCATGGCGTTGGAATTGGTCATGGCGTCGGTATTGGTCACGGGATCGGTCGCCCCGTAATCGGTCACGGAATTGGCCGCCCTGTGATCGGTCACGGTATTAGCCGCCCCGTGGTCGGCGGGTTCGGAGTCGCATCCAGCAGTGTGCTGGTCGGTGGCCACCGTCCGTACGGATACCGTCCGTACCGTCCGTACGGATACGGCAGGAGCGCCGATAGCGACATCAAGGCCGAGGAAGAGTAAAGTGCGTCAGAAATGTAACGAAAAACGTGTGTACCACGTGTGAAATGTGCGTTTATTCGTACCTATATATTTGTGTGTGATTATTACTTACATCACTTTCATCTACGACTCTACTGAGGCTTTCATCAGTTTCATCTAAATCTATTTAGATATTACCCACCATTCGCCAATGCATAATTATGTATGATTGCAAATGGTATGAATATACGCTATCTCATTAGTCACCAGCTTAGTGCTGCAAAGGAGACATGAATAAAGTGCTCAATATTGCCTGTGACCATCTTTTATTCGACACTGCACTGAATGGTACGACCATCGTGGCCCGTGGGTTAGATTGTACAATTACCTGGCCTTGGACCTGTCAGCACTAGAAACCCCAAACTCGTAGAGCTGTCGGGACCTCATGTGCTCTCACTCCTTCGTGCTTTTTTTTCGAAACAAATGTTTCAGAAGAAAACGCATCAGTCTATACAAATCACAAGTTTATCAAAAGCAAATGATACTTATCAAAATACTTATCAAAAGCATACATACTTATCAAAAGCAAATGAAACACTGAATAACACGAAGAGTTCAGCAATCAGCAGCATCTAGCAGTCCCTGGTAACCTTCGTAAATTGAGATAAACCAGGTGCAACTGATCCTTTCGAAAGTGAAGCCACTTAGACTGAAAGTAGTTGGAGCCACGCCTACCGGTTTTTCCACGATTGCTCGAAGCGCGTCAGCCAGCTGAAAGTTGGCATATTCAAATTTTGATTCAAGCCATAGACCTCTGTATATGGATGTCTATGTTCCAGCTGAATCTAATGACGCCCACCAATCATATTTCAGGTCAGGTCAAGTTACTGGCTTTAAACGTCGACGGGGGTCCGTCGTATGACATATGTTTCAGGTATGTTTTTGACGTACTTATAATTCGAAAATGGTATGACTTACGCAGTTTCAGACCATTTTTAGTTCGGGAAAGCAATGCTAGGCCACTATCAAGTTAAAAAAGTAATATTTTAAAAGTTGCAAATTTTTAACCCGCGCCCCACTGGGGTCTGTGTATAACACGCCCTACTGGGGGGGGGGGGGGGCTATTCATAGCCCCCCCCCCTCCTAACTCCGAAACTACTGGGCCGATCGTCAAAATTCAAACGGGGTCTGATAGCCCCGGAAAAACTGTCGAGCGAAACCTAATTTCATTGACCTCGAGGTCACCGATGACGTCACAGGTCAGGTCAAAGTAAAAACTATTAGCATTTTGGCTTCTTCACGTTTTGGGCTCTGGCCGCCGTCTTACAAGTCAGATCAGGCTCATTTTTGGTTCACACACTCGTGAACAGATGCTCTAGATACCCTGAGGGTACCAAACTTGTACTTTGATTTTCAGGTCAAGGTAAGGTCATCACAGGTCACGAAAATATTATATCATGCGTCGGTCACGTGACACATGTTTTATGGTCCATTTAGGCCTAAGATTTCGAATTTGATGTCATCTGTGTCATTCGAGGTCATTTTGAGTCGAATTTAGCTTAGGTCAGGTCACTTTCAGGTCAAAAAAGGTCAAATTTTGAAGTTATAATTTTTCAACAGAAAAGGTTCCTATTGGATGCAGTTTGAGCTCAGGAACACGATGGTGCTATTTATATTGGCGTACGATGTCAAATACGTGCCGAAAAATTGATTTGAAAAATTAATAATTGTGAATTTTTTGCAATAATGCGTATAACTTGGCCATTTTTGAAGATATTTAGCTAAAACTTGCTAGAGTTAGTCATAATAACGCGTTCTATCACATTTATTCCGGTTTTTTCGAAAAGTCAAAAACTTTTTGAAAAAAATGTAAAAATGTAAGTTTTGAATTTTATTATATGAAATTTTTGAAATTTTCAACATTTTGAAAATCCGAGATAGCAGTTTGATAGCGCAGTTTATTCTGAGTCCTCTCATGCAAAGAAATTGGATCTAGCTTAAAAACTGAGCCCTTGGGAGCGATTGCCGTGGTTCAATGTTTTGCATCGAAATCGGCCGAACATGACGTCACTCTGACGTCATTTCCGGCCGACCTATAGTAGCTACGAAGTTCAAATTTTGACACAAGGTGTCAAATTGATGCAGCCGAAGGTACCGAAAGTTTGGCGTCGATACGTCAAGCGGTTTGGAAGTTATTGCAGAAAAACGGGAGGGGTGGCTATAAATAGCCCCCCCCCAGCGGGGCGCGGGTTAACAGAAAGGTGCTCTTTAGACACACTCTTTCCTTAGCCAGCGCCCTGGTGGGGTCTGATTATAACGCGACCTTGTGGGAGGGGCTATTTTTCTCCCTTATATCTTCGGAACTATGTACTGCAAGGATTTACATAGCTCAAACGGCGCTCGGTATAAATGAGAAACATGTCGAGGGTTAAGTAATTTCATTGACCTCAGAGTCACCGATGATGTCACAGGTCAGGTTAAATCTCGCATTTTCACCGTTTCTTCTTTCACCGTTTCTTTCACCGTTTCACATCAAGTGAAAGGCATGCTATCGAGAATCATCTATATAGGGTCGGTTGCCTAATACATATGCTGCTTGCAGAAGATCACTGATACCAGGTCAGGTCACAGAGGTCAGGTCACTAAGGGTCAAAATATGTTATATTAGCTATACGGTACAGCTATACCAGGACCGTGTAATTCATGTTTTGTGGCCAATTTTACATTTCCAATGCAATGGTGTTGGTTAGACGGCCATTGGGACCGGTTAAGTCCTGGCGGAGATCAGGTCAATGTCAGGTCAAAAAAGGTCAAATTTCGTAGATGATGTTTTGAAGAAAAAGGGTATCTATTCGATGCAGCTCATCACGAGAAATCCAATGGTGGTCTTAGTAGTACTCTATGTGGTCTGTAACAGCTATGAATTGAGTTTGAAAATTTGACGTCATCAATTTTGAGCAGTTTTCGCCATAACTTTGCCAATAAATAAAACTATCGAGCTCAAATTTGGCATGTCGATAGCAGACCAATAGTTCTATAACATATGTTCCGTTTTGTCAAAATTTTGAAAAGTTATGGTATTTTTTGCATTATATAAAAGTATAACTTTTTTGAAATTTGGGTGATATAAAAATGGAGATTGCAGTTTTGTAGCCCTGTTCTTTCTACACCTTTATGACCCGGAACATTTTTCTCTATCTCCAAAACTGTACGCGTGACCGCTCTTCCCGCAAAACCTTTTTTTGGTCGAAAATATCAGAACATGACGTCACTCTGACGTCATTGGCGGCCAACCTGTCATGGACTTTGGAAAAACTTCTGTTCACAAGGTGTAAACATTGATAATCAAGAGGATACTGAAAGTTTTGCGACGGTCGGGGCATTAGTTTTAGAGGTAATGCGAAAAGACTGGAGGGGGGGGGGGGCAAACATAGCCCCCACCAGGACGCGGGTTAGAACAGGACCATTTTCAGGCCTTGGTCGATTCCACGATAGATCGACCAAGGCCTAACACCCGACCATTTTTGATTTTGATGAAATCTTGTCTATAGGGTTCTCTTATGCCCTGAAGTCAATGGTGACAACGCCAGGCCCCTACGGTCAGCGGTTTAGGAGATATAGCCCCGGGCATTTTGACGAGGTCACTCTGCAGAGTGATTTTTGAGGTGCTATATCTCCTAAAGTAATGAAGGAAATGCATTAAACCTGTACATCGTTGCGATGGCGGTGAAATGGGCAATTAATTGGCCATCTCGGATTTTCAAAAAAATGATTTTGATTTTTAGCTGTGACGTCATCAATTTTTAAACTTTCTGGCTACCCCCCTAGTACATTAAAATTTGCCATTATTTCTGCTCAGAAATAAAGTTCCGTCAATTTCCTTTCGACTGGGAAAAAACAAAAATGGTAATCTTTCTACAAATATTTTATTTTATTTTTTGAAAATCGCACTACAAACTCTGATTTACAGAATCGGGTTATTAAGCAATATAAGACACATCTGCGAGGACCTGTTACTTCCAAAAAGAGGTTATCTGGGTTTCGGCATATAATATTCTTCTCTTTAACTTCACTTTTGATAACAAAAAAAAAAAGAACTTTAATATTACTTGCACACCTGTGACTGTATCATCTCTTCGAGTTCACGAACTCTCAACGGATGAGGGTCGTGTCGTGAGCATGCATGCTCGGACGAAACGTTCCAAGTAAAAAGTGTGTTTGTGTGGCCGTGATCTCGTTCCTGTGTTGGTGCTTTGCCGTCTGTTATTGCAACTGCAATAGAAATGCACTCCGTTGTTTATGGCTTTCATTGCATCCAGCGTTGAAAATGATGATTCGCTGATGAAATACCTAGTCACATTACACCACCTTTTGCCTTCCTGAAACTACCAATTATTTTGTTCGTTTATAATTAGTCGGTTCGTAAATATGCTTTGCAAATCGACTGTCGGTTGGTCATTTGAGCTACGTTGATAAACAAGGCAGCTGTGGCAGCTCAAAAGTATGTATAATTTTGCCATTATATTGACTCCTGTGCAAGTAATATTAAAGTTCTTTTTTTTTATCAAAAGTGAAGTTAACCCGCGCCCTGCTGGGGGGGGGGTGTTTGAACACCCCCCTTGTGGTTTTTCGCGAATATCTCAAAAACGGCGGCGCGGAGCGCCGCCGTTTTTGGTACACCTTATCATACATCAATTCTACACATGTTGTAAAAATTTCAGACCAAGGTCATTCAAGGTCAGGTCACCAGGTCACTTGAAGTGACCTCACCTCATAAAAAGTTTCGATGTCTGTCATAGCTACACCGAGTGACCGATTGCTTTGCAACTTTCAGCGATTGCTAAGAGCAATAGCATGTACAAAATGTATATCTCAGAATTTTGATATCGATGACCTAAGGTCAGGTCAATTTTGCGACCTCCCCATTATAAGTCAATGGGAGAAAACTGAAATGCGCCTCTTTTGGACGAAAGACATTATAAACACTCCCAAATACTGAATTACAAGTGGTTTAGACACACTGAACATGAAAATGGTGTCCG